CGGCTTCAAAAAAGGGGGCGGCTGCCCCTAAACGAGAATAGTAATTGAGGATTCGAAAAGATAAAGCAAAGTGAATGGTGAATGGTGCCGTAAAGCATGTGATATAAATGATGCTCTTGGGGTTTTCTTTAAACAGTTAAAATGGTTAAAAAGATATATAATTTAGCTTAATCGACTATGTTCAATGTAATGTAAGCATTTTAGACTAACACTTATATAAGCTGATGTAATGATCTCCTATACTTGGGGTTTTAGTTAGTAGTGGTTTTCTTTCCTTTCTCCATAGATGTAGATGTTCCCTCCCTATTTTTTCGTTGTATTTTATAGAAAATGCAATAAAAATCTAAAAAAAAAACCCCCCCGGGGGGAAAAAAAAAAGTTATATATAAGGAGAGATGTGGTCCCCCCCCCCAGTTGAATCGAAACAGAACTAAGGTTGTCATTCTTTTGATCTGTTAAAAAAAAGCATCCTCACTATTTTGCATGCTAATTTAACAAACCACTTTTATATATACAACTGATATGTAATTCCATTTCATCGTGTGACGAATAAAACTTTGTTGGTCTTAAAGGTGTCACTGGACTCTAACTTTGTAATTGTCTGAGAATGTAAAAAGTCTTGGAGTGCTCTTAGCCTCATCTCTCTTATAAATAAAAGCCGAATGGTGGTGGCACTTCTCTAGAACATTCCACACCCTCCAAAATCAGTTCGCTCTCTGATCTGTCATTCAGAGGGTCTCCCTATCCACTGGCTGCTTTGCCTGAGTCCTGCCTCCAACATTCTAAACATTTTGCTGTTCCTCTCCCCCCCATAGCCAGTCAGAACACAGAGGTTATTTGCATATGCAGCCTCATTGGCCTTTGCCTCGGAACAGGTCGTTTGCATATGCAACTTGATTGGCTTTTGCCTCTAACATTCTAAACAGTTTTGCTGTTCTGAGGTAAAATGTGTCCAATCTCCAGGTGAGGGCTGGAGATCACTCAAAATTACAACTGCTCTCCAGATGGCAGAGATCAGTTCCCCTGGAGAAAATGGTGGGCTCTGTATCCTTATATGCTGCTGAGGTGGCCCCCGTATGACAGCCAATGTGACGTAGCAGTCAGGGCTTCAGAGCACGGGAGAGGCTGCAGGTGTGTGGGAGGTGGAAAGCTGAAGAGTGAGGGGGAAATAAAGGTAGGTTGATGATTGGCTGGGAAAGAGATAGGGTTACCAACTCCAGGTGGGAAATTTCTGGAGATATGAGGGATGGAGCCTGGAGAGGGTGAGGTTTCAGGAGGTGTGGGACCTCGGACAGGTACAAAGCCATAGACTCCACCTTCCAAACCAACTATTCCCTTCTGGGGAACCATCGTTGCCAATCTCCAGGTGAGGGCTGGAGATCACTCAAAATTACAACTGTTCTTTAGGTAGCAAAGATCAGTTCCTCTGGAGAAAATGGTGGACTCAGTGTCATTACACCCTGCTGAGGTCGCCACAGCAAATTGACACTGAGTGTCCAAGGCCGGGGCACACGCCCAAAGCCTCTTTCTAGAGGCCGTTGTATTTATTTCCACAACCAGCCTTTTTCCTAGTAGAACAATACAGATATTTAGAAAATGAAAGTTCAGGAGTTTTAAAAATTTCATTGAAGTGTTTTATACACCCCGTATCCCCCCCCCATTAAATAGACTACAGAGTTATTTGTTTTTACACATATTTTTGGTTCATGTTTTGCGTTTATGGCATATTTGTCTGGATTACGGTAGGCTGACCGTGGTGGGTTTATAACAACTGTGGGTACAAGGGTTGCCAATTCTGGAAGATTCCTGGAGAGGGGCCTTAGTGGGGTATAATGTCATAGAGTCCACTCTCCAAAGCAGCCATTTTCTTCAGG